ATAATTTAAAGTTTAAGTAAGATTTCCTGTTATATCTGAACAATAGATGAACTTAACAATTTAAATATTTAAAAATTTAATCATGATTCTTAGAAGAATCAATATTTATTGTTTCATGATTCTTAGAAGAATCAATATTTATTGTTATACTGGAACAATTTGAGAAATTAGGGGTTTATATTTTTATTCATTGAGTTAAACGATGCCAAAAATGATGTTGGTTGGAGATTACTGGTGCTTGTTGGTTGTATGGATTTTATAATTTAATTTACTATATTCATTTTATTCGCTCCGTGCGCGACAGCAGCGCCAATATGTTATGGTATTAAAGGAGTATTTCTGCCTATACTGACAAATACAATTTTTAATAGAATTCGTAAATAAAAAGTATATATGTTAGTTTTAATAAAAGTATATGGATTTATAAAACAATTAAAACATTAATTTATTATTATTATATATTTTTCACGCTTAAATTGAAGAAAATTATGTATAATCATTAAAAATCAATAATAAAATATAGGCAGGCAACAGTATTTACTGGAAAATGTATGAGAAGTTGCCTATGTCTAATAAGTTGTCATTGAAGAAACCATTTATAATAGCGTGTATAAAAAGGATCGCTACTTATATTTTCATTTTTGTTCTAAAGAAAACATAGAATGAATGATTAAAACTGGTTTCCGATCAGTAAGTCACAAAATTGCATACCAGCCAAATATTATAATCAACGGCAGAAATCTTGAAATCTAGTCCTTGCTGAATGAACATTTAAGAATAAAGGGATATTAAAGAACATCGTAAAATGATAATTTATTGTTTATTTAAAAACTTTCTAGTTTCTGATGTCTACTATTTCCAGCATTACTGTTATTATCACAAAAATAATGGTAATTTTTCTTCTTATTGTACACCTATCTATTTATTTCTTTGATTTAATTTCCACTTTGTTAGTGAAATTTGTTATATAAGTTTCACTGTTTTTTTTTGCTAGTATTTGTACAATTTTCAACACAGCAACTCCGGTTGCTTATTGTGTTGTTTTTACCTACTTTTTTGAAAAAAAGTAAAATGTATACGTGTATTTGATATGCCAAAATTACAAAATATCCCCCTAAAATGCACGAATTATCCGCAGCTAGCGCTAGTATCGCTTTTGCTTCCCTTTCATGACTTCGCACGGAGCGAATAGGGTACTAATCAGGTATAATTAATGTTGCTAATCTGCATGGGTACAATTTTAAGTGTGATGAATATCTTATAAGAGTTAAATATTTTTGCCTTACTTCTGGAGTTTGACGAAATCCATGTGACTTCGTTAGACAAATTTATTTTTAAACTTTTAAGAAAAATACTATATTTTATAAATTTGTCCACTATTCATCTGATGAAGTCAAAATAAAATATAGACACAAATTGCTTCTTCATTAAATGCAGGGCGAATAAATTTAAACATAAAAGCACAATATCTTATACCTATGTTTAATTATTTTTCTTAATTTTTAAAAATAATTTTGTATACCAAGCTCTAGTGGTAAGACAATAAATAATAGGTTTGTTCCAACATAGCACAAAGTTGGTTTACATAGTGCCGGGATTCTGCGCAGTCTAGAATTGGTAATTCAAAAAACTTTGGACTCAAAACTGTACAAAAAAAAATTATTTTTCTAAAAATCGTGATGTTATATTTTCAGATTTAAAGCTGGGAGCTTATTTTTTACTTTTTAATTAAAACAATTATTATTACTCAGGCTGAAAATTAACCAGACCATAATCAAAAAGTAGAAATTTGATTTGCAATATTTATCTGGTAAACGTGGCAACGTTGCATTTATTTCTAGAAGTGTGTGTAGACAACACTATTTAGAAGTACTTTCAACGTTGTCACGTTTACCAGATACATTTTCTCAAATAAAATTTTGATCTGGTAATATTCAGCTTGAGTAATACTAATTGTTTTTATTAAAATTTAAAAAAGGTAAGGCTTCCAGCTTTATTTGAAAATATAAACACATTATTTTAAAAAAATAATATATTTTTATAATGTAAATTTCATTAATAAATGCAGAAGAGGAATGGTGGTGCAATGATACATCCGACAACCGCGCCCTTTTAACTATTAACCGATACGAGACCTGAAGGAAATTATGGGTTTTCTGACGCAATGAGTCACTGAAAGAATTTTATGGGAATTCCCTTACTTCTAGCAAAAATATCTTAACGGAAAAAGTATCACCAGACAAAAGAGTTTAATATCTTTATAAATATATAATTAATTCACATTCAAAAATGAAAGTGAACGGGCCCAGAACTCTTATAACACATTATACACTTGAAATTATATCCTTTGCAGATTAACTATATTGTTACATTATGCCTAATGATGACCTTATATGAACGAAGGGTGGGTAATTAGAAAATTATTTTTTTAAATAAAAATGAAAAATTTAAAAATAAAATATTTTTGAAAAAATAAGTTTTTTAAAAATATTTTGAAAAATCTAATAAAATTAGTGGTTGACGTTTATTATTAATTACTCTACTTCAGACGACTTTGAAATATTATGGATATTCAGGATTTTTTTCTGTAACTAGATTTCTTTATAATTCTAATAGATACAAAGGCATTTTTCCATCAATTTTGCAACTTAATTTAAAATATTGACTAATGTAAATTGTCTGTTACATAATATTGAAAATAATTTGGGAACTGAGCTGAAAGAACGACTACGAAAATTTTGAAGGGTCTTCAATCAATCTACTTTCTAAACCAACAATTCAAGGACCCACTCAGCCAGGATCCCAAAAAGGCTTTATTATCCCGGCAGTAGCGCATCCAGATTTTCAATATTGTAAAACGAAAATTTTATTTATATTTAAATGTTAAAAAAGGTAAATATTAACAGAGTGTAAGAAAAAACTTAATAATTTAAAGCAGTATTTTCTTTTTTTTTTTTTTTTGAACGATATAAGATCAAGTAGAATTAGTATTTTATAAAGAACGTTAACCGGTAATCACAAAACTTTTTTTTTAATAACTTGGTAAAGATTTCATTACAATTTTGTATATTATTATACTTAATTAATTCGAGTATATAGTGGATACATTATAAACCTTGTTAATAAATTAATAGTGTCAGTTACTAAATGTCACAAATAAATTATATAAAATCATGTCAACAAACTTTAGTAAATAATAAAATATAATAAAAAAGTATGATCCAAAAACAAAATTTTAGATACCTCTAAATTAAATCCAAACTGCTATTTAAATAGAAGAAATATAATCTCCGATATGCGTGATTTTTTCAAAAAACTACCAACGAGACATTTTTGTGGATAACTTTATATTTTTCAACTTCTTTCATGGATTAATAAACCAAAATATTTTAGAACATTTTAACCGCTTCATTCTATAATAGAGTATCAAATAATTTAACTTTACATCACTATTTGGGTTTCCTTATACAGATTATATCAATGTTGTATTAAGTTAGCATGCTTTTACTTGATTAATAATTGATAATTATTCACAATTGATTTGATTGTACCGATAATGACTGGTGATTTGATTGCTCAGTTCAAACAGGCAAGTAGGTAATGTAATTGGTTGTTTAAGGTACATATTAAAATGTCAAATGTTTTTAATTAGATTTTCTACCTAATTAATCAAGAATAAATTTACCTCGAATATTAATTCTTTTATTTTTTTGAGATTGAATTTCATAAATGCAACTCTTGGAATCATTAGTATATGTAATCGCCTAAGTGAATGTACTCAATATGTTGTTAAAAAATACCAATAATCCTTTGGACGCATGCACATAATTTTTATCTAGAATTTATTCTAGACTTTATACTAGAATTTATGCTAGAATTTTTCTGGAATTGATTTTAGAAATTAATCTAGAATTTCATATAGAATTTCATCTAGAATTTCAACTAGAATTTCATCTAGAATTTCATCTAGAATTTATTCTAGAATTTATTCTAGAATTTATTCTAGAATTTATTCCAGAATTTATTCTAGAATTTATTCTAGAATTAATTCTAGAATTTATTCTAGAATTTATTCTAGAATTTATTCTAGAATTTATTCTAGAATTTATTCTAGAATTTATTCTAGAATTTATTCTAGAATTTATTCTAGAATTTATTCTAGAATTTATTCTAGAATTTATTCTAGAATTTATTCTAGAATTTATTCTAGAATTTAATCTAGAATTTATTCTATATAAAATTTAATATGTGAAGATTGTATTTTAGGTTTAAGATCATTTAGAACTCTTTACGAAGGTTCACATATTTGATTAAAATTAATAATAAAAAAGCATTCCATAATAATTCTTCGTTAACAAGACAAACGGACGTATCTCAAAATTACAAGATTTGAGTAATTACTGTTTAAATATTATTATTATTATTATCTTTAATCTGGATTTTTAACTTTAAGCGTTGCTTTAAAAATGCTAATAACATAAAATGTCGTGTCAATAACAATATATAATTGCTATAAATATATATATAAATTCCGAAAACGCCTTTTGATGGATCCAACTGAAATTTAGGAATTTTTGAGATACGTCTCTTCGTCACAATAGAGACGAATTATTATGAGCCCAACTAAAATAGACATAATCTACATATAGGTGATCGGTTATTATGTCTAAAAATTCCTACTCCTGTTATTATTTTTACTTTTTCATTTAATATAGGTGTGAAATTTGCTTACATCACCCGAAAATTTTTCTAGTACATGAATTTTTTATTCCCACCTCTAGTCTTACGTACGGTAAAAAAGTTCCGCGAACATTTTTGTTTTGTAGGTCGAACCAGACAGACACTCCCTTTTTTATTTTTGTCTCTACTGGTTTTTGAAAACGCCCCTCAGGATATGCCACTGCACACCAAACCATTAAAAGTTCGGAAGTGTAAATTTTATTAGCAACAAGTTTTCGTTCATTCTCTGGGAAACTTCAGCAATTTTCAGGGATTCTTACCTGTGCTCGAGTTGATTGCGAAAAAACCCTCCGGATTGCCAGAGCTGATCTTGTATGTTATTTTTTGGTGCGGGTCCTTATCCCGATCCGTGGCTCTTATTTGAAGGACCGTAGTGCCTTCAGGACTCTCCTCGGGAATGTTTGGATAGTAAACCGCTTGCTCGCTCAAAGGCACGTTATCGTTCTCGTTCAATACTTCGATGTACACCTGCAACAAATCGATAAATGGATGTTATTATGGTCAACATTGGGTTCAAAATTAATAATTCAGTTAAAAAAATGTAAAAGAATCGATTAGCATTATTTTTTTGTAAAATATAATTTCCTCATACTCAAAATCGATTTTTGTCAACCAATGATTAAATACGTAAATATGTAAATGATAGATGTAGATAAGTAGGACAAGAAAATAAGTGTTAATGAGCACTAATTATGTAATTGTCACTTATTTCATGTATTACTGTTATTATAAATTTTGTTTACTTTGTTATTATTTCTTGCGTTATATCACTTTGACGATTTTATAAAGTAATGACGGTTATAAAGGGTCATTTTGTATAACAAATAATATAGTTTTGAAGTGGAATTATTTTATTTTTAAAAAATTGCCCGCCTGGATTTGTACCCCACCTAGTCAAAGAAATACAGTGATCATGTGCATATTAAGTATAAAATCCCTATAATTCCAAACTCTGGGAACGGGATAATATAAATGTGTGTTGTGTGAATGTGTACGGTGATACAGGGTGGAAGTTGAATGCATTTATACTTTTGACTAGTGGGATAAGTTTTATTTTAAGTAAATATAGGTAAAGAAATACTTTATGGACGAACAAAAACTATACTATAGGCTTTACACTTGATTAAAACCGTTACATTCCCCCCTTGCTTCAAGAAAATTTACCCAGGTAAATTTTCACCAGCGCTAGCTGATCTATAACAGCAATTCCCATTCCCTGCACTGGTACCTAACAGTATCTTCAATACTTCAACATCAAACCAAAACGCTGGTTCCAAACACCGGATACAAATAGTAGATCCATACTAGGTTCAAAAAACCCCAAAATATACAATCTCTATTTAGAATGGTGTAACATTTGATCCCACCCAGTTATCTCTTAATATAAGACAATAAAAAGTACAAATGAAATCTTGAGCCACCCAGAGGGTTGAAATTAGTGCCTGCCAGAACAAGAGTATCCAATTAAAATTTAATTAGCAAAATTCAAAACAAAAATTGTATTCCACATTCAACCCCCTAATTTACTATCTGAAAGAATTTCTATTATTTACAATGAATGAATATCAATATTTACATTACAAATTACACTATTAAAAAGGAATAAAACCTACCTCTTAGCCCAGAGGGTGTGTAACTGTAATCATAACGCAGAGAAATCTGCTAAAATCTTCTTAAAACCAGTGTTCCCTTCAATATACGGTCTGAACTACGATCGGCCTTCAATATGAGACTGCTAATACATCTACCAATGGGCTGAACTTCAAATCAAATTCTCCTCAAATACGAGTTAAAAAGTCGGCACTTACAATCACCAAAATAACGGTCTTAAATCCCCGTTAACCAAATTCAATTTTACTATTACTGCTTCTTATAGTAATGAGATACTTTTCTAACACTCCCCGGCATGGGATAATTCCATAAAATAACAAAAACTAGAAAAGCATGTCTTGACGAATTTTCAGTTTAAACCACCATTACGACTTGTTCTCAGAAAAGAACACATGTCGCTTCTTTTTTCTCCAACACGAAGATGAAACCTCGATCGCGCAGAATCGCCGTAGATAAAACCTCTTTCAGCCAATTATCACTCTCAGACAAATACGGTTCACGAATGGCACCCCTGCGCCACCAATAAGCTTTTACGATTTCGAAAATAAAACTATATCATGCTGGTATCCCTGTATTACCCAATAGAAATCCTAAACAACGAAACGTCAAAATATAATCAAGGAACAGTACCATCGCGGTAAAAATTCTCTTGTAGTACTTATCTATGATCTGACAGCTCTCCAGCAGTCACTCACAAATATAAATATAACCCCACTTATTTGACATTCGGTATCCAACGAATATAATCTAAAACTAATTCAACGAGTACAAATTGTCGTTTAGTGCTTGTGAAAATTATTAAAAATATCCACGACAATTAAATCCTGTCTCAGTTAACGAAATGTGCTGTTTGTAAAGTTCATAGTTAACATTTACCATAAGAATTGTTGTCTAGTGCTTGTGAGAAGTATTAAGAATATCCACGACAGATACACCATGTCTCAGCTAACGAAATGTGCTGTTTGTATAGTTCATAGTTAACATTTACCACAACAAGGATTGTTCTCTAGTGTAAAGATTATTGTGAACAATTACCACAACAAGGAAGGATATCAAAGGTACACTTTAGCATAAATATTACAATTTAAACGAGTTTACCTATGTCTATTTGTCTTGAACATATTTTAATTCTTGTAAAAATAATATATTAAGTGTAAAATCCCTATAATTCCAAACTCTGAGAACGGGATGATATAAATGTGTGTTGTATGAATGTGTACGGTGATACATGGTAGAAGTTGAATGCATTAAAACTTTTGACTAGTCAGATAAGTTTTATTTTAAGCAAATATAGATAAAGAAATACTTTATAGACGAACAAAATTTATCCTATAGATTTAAAGCTCGATTAAAACCGTTACAATCAGCCTAAAATGAGTGTCTGATTGCCATCTAAAGATGGTCTACAACAAATGACAACATTCGGAAATTTGTAAATAAATAATTGTATAATTATAAATAATTTTGTTATTATTTATGTTTAAATAATTACAAATATTCTCAATTTATCTCCAATAATTATCTACGAAAACCAGCTCCTGGCCTATAACCTGGACAACGAAGGTTTCGAGAGCCTAGCTAGAAATATCTTTAACCGCCTACTTGGTTGTGACCCAGCTCTCAATAACAGCTCAATTTCTTCTGCGCTGTAATTAGAGGTACTACGAGCAAGCTATCATTTTGCTTACTAAGTGTAGATGGTGTTAATTTGTGACTTCTTTCCTCACTTAAACACCGCCCACGAAAACAAGGAATCTAGAGAATCCATTAGAGATTGTAATCGATAATATCTATGTCATGCTGATGAGTCCTAATAAGGACGAAATCAGTGAAAGAATGACGTTCTCCTAAGTGGATTCAAAGTTTGAATGGTGAAAATTGTTTTACCTGCTGTTTTTCTTCGGATATAATTAAATGACTGTTGCTAGAGCTTGTTAAATTTCTAATATGGTTTTTATTGAGAGAAATACACAAAATTAACAAACTGAGAAAGAAAATTAGGTATTGCAAGACCTAGATGTAAGATTTGTGTTCGGCGTGTAAACACCTCTTGGTGACGTTGTCAACTACATTAAATCTGTAGAGTGACTCACGAGCTAGGAAGTGCCTTAGGAGAATGCACAATGGATCTATTGAGGCCTAAGTGTTGTGAGGGGGGCAACCCACCCTCAACGCGTTACAGATACAGAAGACATAGATGTCGATTGTCTAAGTTCATTTAGAGTAAGACTTATTCAAGTCCGTAATCATCAGATTCACCTATAGGAACTTCGAGTTCTGTTGTGACATAGTTGGCACATCAGAATCACGCGAGTAATATTGTTTTCTCTTGATATTGAATTAAATTTTATTGAACTTTTTGAATTTCTCAAGGAAATAAAATATTAAATAAAAGTAAAACATATAATTACATTTTTAATTTAAACATCCTTTAAATATAACTTCCTTCTCAAATCGCAACTTCACCATGAGCGAGGCTTCCGCAGTGCCGTTCTTGTTTCTTCCCTAGAACCAACGATGGCACAACGGGCTCTATTCAACCCTAGTCGCCGATGGAAAAAAATAATTTCTGCATGTAAAACATTTCAACAGTATCAATCATATAAATAAAATTCACATTCTTAATTCCTTTGATATGACTAAATAACTTTTCAATCAATCAAACATACAGAATTTAAAAAATAGAAAAATAAAATAGCACCAAACCTCCCCACTCTCATTCTAAACACACCTGAAATAAATTTTTTTTATAGCGGCAAGAGAACGCACCTTTCTCTTTCTCTGTCAACAGGTGTCACCTGTCACCGCTGTCACCTGTCACCGCTGTCATTCTAGCCGCTTAAAACATGAGAAAATCGTTAGGAGTTGAAAATATAAAATAAAAAATTTAAACAATGGCTTTAAAAATAACTAATAATTTTAAAAATATTTTAAAGAAAGTAATTATGAATATTGTTAAATAATCATAATTACTGTTCGGAATGAAGATAACTTTTAAACTTTTTGGGTATCATTATAAGACAGTATGTAGCTATGAACCCAAATTAACTCTCAGATTCATCACATTTTCCCCCTTCCTTTGAATTTGTCTTTTAACTGGGAAGACAATTCAATTTGGACAATAATTTGGGACATAAAGCCTTATCTCTATACAAGCACAAGCTTCTTGATGTTTTATTTGAACGACTAAGGGTGTATGCCCTAATCATTGTGTCCAACATTGGATTTTTCGGTAATTTTGTACTTGCTTTTCATTTGTAACTTTGTTAACCGTAATTTTTTAGAAATAACTAGCAAAATGAACTCGTTTTGATGCGACCAGAATCCAATTGTGTGTTTAGAAACCCAATGGCTTAGAAATATATCATTTTTATATAAATTACTACTTTTCCTTTGATCCTTTTTTCATGCTTCCTTGCAAACAATTATTAGAAATAACTGAGTTCCTTCTAAACCATCTTAATCTTTAATATTGATAGTAATAAACGTAATAAAGAAAATTACATAACCTACAAAAAGTTTTTGTTCTCTGACAGTCAAAACTCAGTAGTATAACCTATATAATATACAGTATACAAAAGTGTAAGTTATAAAATAATAATTTAAATAATATTAACGTGTTATTTGTATGAGTTAAAATTGTTAAAAACCTGTAATTATTCCAGTCTCTAATTTACACTTCCTTTATTTTTTTAATGTTCCATTAACTTTAAAGCAGGTTTTTTTTATATTTTGTATTTAATCCTGACGCGATCCTCCGTAACCTGAAGCTATAGAACACATTCTAAATGAGTTAATTAGATTATTTAAATCTTATAAATACCTTGGAAGGTGCTGATGTGCATTTAAAGAGCCTT